GGAGGGAGGGATTTACTGTGAAGGGGTTCGAGGGGGGTTTGGAGGATGGCGGGGCCTCTCGAGATCCTGACTGGGTGGGGTTAACTTGATGGCCTATGTCTGCTAAAACTTACAAAACTCAATATTAACAAGAATGAATTCACCTGAAAAATGGGAAAAAAAAACCCAATTATATAAAAACTGAAATAGTATGGTAAATTAAAAAAAAGAATTAGGTTGGAGGCACCTGGGTGGCTCAGTCATGAAGCGTCTGCCTTCGGCTCAGGTCATGATACCAGGGTCCTGGGATCAAGCCCTATGTCTCGAGGCCCTGCTCGATGGGGAGCCTGTCTCTCCCTCTCCCCTCTGCTTATGCTCTCTCTCGCAAATAAGTAAAATCTTAAAAAAAAAAAAAAAAAGAATTAGGCTGGGACAGTTGGCATAGTCTGGGGCAGACAACTGGGGGGACCTCTGACCACCACCTGTGAGTCTAACACAAAGCCTTGCCCCTAATAGGTGCCATTGATGGTATTGAGAGAGGAAAATACTTGGAGACAACAGCATCCAGATTCCCAGGCTCTGTCTTCAGTAGGTCTGGGGCTGGACTCAGGGACGGATGAGCATTTGTCATGCATAGTTGGGGGGGCTCGCGGTTCTGGGGACCACACCTGAGATGCTGGGTGGCAAGCCGTGGTCACTCAGACCCCACTTGCCCCAGCCAGCTGTGTCACTGTCCCTCCAACACGCCATTCGCTGCCGTCCCCACGACCTCCAGCCTTCGCGCTCACCTCCTGCCCGTGTCCGTGCTGGCTGCCAGTCCTCCCAGCAGGCCTTGCTGTGGGCTAGCAAACGCACGGGGAGACACGCTCCCCGCAAGGACGGTTTCACAGGACTTTCGTTTGAAAGTCGTTGCTCCCGGCCTCTGTTTCCGCATTAACCCTGCTGCAGGTGGGTCGCTACCCCACGCGATAGGACAAAACGAAACGTGCTCCTAAGGCCAGAACTGGGTTTATCGCCCGCCCAGCCAGGCAGGGAGCTCAGGGGCTCACAGGCCCTGGCCGGCTGCACTGTGGGGACCTGGGCAGCCGCTCAGCGGCAGGGGCAGGAGAGAGCAGCCCCAGACCCGGAGGGCTTGTTAAGGGGCGGGAGGGAAGTGCAGGCGCCCTTGGACCCCCGGAGGAAGCACCGCCCGCGTGCTCTTCTTGACCTTTGCCTCCAAGGGTGCTCAGAAGCGGCGGCTGGGCGAGGTTGACAGGCTGACCAGGTGGGCGGGAAGGGACGGCAGGAAGGGACGGGCAGAGGAGGCCAATCTCACGGCCGATAGCCCTGCAGGGCCACCACGGCCGCTCCAGCTCAGGGACCCACCTGCCCCTCGCCCAGCGGGGTGGGGGAGCCTCAGTTCTCCTTGGACAAGACCCCATTCTCAGTGGGTTCAATGTGACCCCAAAGGCGGCAGCTCCGTCTCCGACTTCGGTTTGGGAAAGAGAAGGGCGCGTGTCTCACCCAACTGAGGGACCGGACACGGGTAAGGCTGGCCACGCGCTCGCCGACGGACATTTGCCAGCCAGTGGGCTCCACACAGGGCGAGGAGCCTTTTCCATTTCGATGACAGACACATGTTGTAAGACGGAAAATCACCCTCCTCGGTGCTTACTTTATCTCTGTTTAATTGTTGTTTGATAATAAATTACGACAGAGAGTCCATTAATTAAGCTAACAATGTCTGCGGAACACCAACTCCTTCTTCGGGGAGTTGCCTTGTTACGGGAGCTTTGGTTCCGGCTCTGTTTGCCCACAGTGCTTTCCGGAGCGGTTTAGAAAGATGCCAAAACACGTGATGGGGGGGCTCACTCCTGGCGCAGAGGGAGCGGCTTGGAAGGAGGGGGAGGAAACCCTGATGAGCCGGGGTGGGGGGCTGGCAGCTGCAGAGCGGTGCCAAGGGTCGCTTCTTAATTCAGAACATGTGGTGGAACAGAAACCAACATTAGACTCACTTAAAATCAGCTGATGGGAACAACCAGGGCCCCTCAGAGGTGTTCATCCCAGAGTCGGGGGGAGCAGGGAGCAGCCCACTTTGGTCTGCTGTTGCATCAACTAAGCGGCAGGGGCGTCGTCTGGAAAAGCTCTGCGCACAGGTGGAGCCGGAGAAAGAAGAATTCTAGTTCTTTCCCACCCAAGGCGCCGGAATTGTGCTGGGGGAGCGGAGAGCCTGCCGCTGGCTCCGGTGTGGGCAGGGAATGACAGGTACACATCTGCAGGCTGGGTCTGTTTAGCAGGTGACCGGCGGGACTCTGAGGCAGGGGCACGGGCGGAGTGAAGGCTCCGGACAGAAGGCTGAGGAAGGTCAAGTTCCCGGGGGTCTGTCCCAGAGCTGTGAGCATCACAAGGGCGTTAGAGGGTGTTCTGAGGGCCCCGGGCAGACAGAGAGGGCAGAGGGTTCTGGGGGAGGTGGCCACAGGGCTGCAGGGGGCAGAGCGAGTGCCTCAGTGTGCTGGTCCTTGGATTCAGCTAAGAACAGCCCGAGGGGCTTCAAAAACCCTCCCCAAATCCCCCAGGTAAAAAATAACACTGCTTGGAGCCATGTGGGGAAGCCCTCAGATGTCTGGGAGACAGTTATGAGACACCGTTGTTCCCTTTCTCATTCCCAAAGTCGGCTTCGCAGGCCAGATTATCTAAATGTGCCAGTGTCTACGATGCCACGGTCACTCAGTGCTTGGTTTGAATGTTACCTGCTCAGAGCACTGGACAGAGAAGCCTGGGACTTAAGGATGAGCCACTGCTCCTGTCCCCCTGAACAATGGTCACAGGCCTGTGCTGGGGAAGCTGGAAAGTCAGCAGGAGCCGGAGGCCAGGAAGTCTCCGTAGCAAGCACCCGTCTCTGAACTCTGGGAGTTGAAACAGCCCAATGGAAGCCTGTCATCCCCACTGTGGTTCTCTAGTGTCCAGTCCCATCCCTCCCAGGCCAGCAGCCCAGCATCATCCGGGAACTTGCTGGAAACGCAAAATCTCAGCTCCCACCCCAGGCCCCCAGATTCAGGAGCTCTGGCGTTGGGGTCCAGAACGTGGTGCTTTCACAGGCCTCGTGGGAACCCGCTGCACCCCGAAGGCAAGGTCCGGGCTTTGGAGCCTGCCTGCCTTGTCCAGCCTTGTGAGATCCGCCTCTCCGTCCCCTACTGCCTTAGCGCTTGGCCTGTCCTTCTCTCTTGCGTTCGGGGCCGCCAGACGGGGCCATCGCCACCTCCCCACACCCTGAGCTCTCTTGCTCTTTCCACACTCACTGTGCTATGGATTTTCCTGCCTCTTTACCTGTCTCTTCCCTCAAGTGCAAACCACGTGAGAGCAGGGACCACCGCCGCATGTACTCCCGGGCAACCTGCAGCACGGGATCCAGACGGACTCACGGAGTGAACGAGTAAAGACTCTCCCGAGAGGCATCTGCTTTAGGCTCAGGTCATGATCCCGGGGTCCTGGGATCGAGCACCGAGTTGGGCTCCCTGCTCCGTGTGGAGCCTGCTTCTCTCTCTCCATCCCTGTTCATGCTCTCTCTCTTTCTCAAATAAATAAATAAACAGAATCTTAAAAAAAAAAAAAAAAAGACACCCCCTGGATTCTTTAGACCCCACTGCCGTGTGAATGACCCGTTCCCTGCACAGAGCCGGCGGGAAGTGCAGCGGGTCTGGGCTTCCCGGTCTTTCTCCCGCACCCCGCGGCCCGTTCAGCCAACGGTGGGTGGCCGGCTCGGTAAACCCTCCGCAAGTACAGGGGCTGGGTTTGGATTCAAAGTGCTCTGCTCGTGCTGGAGGGCCTGGAATCCAGTCTGCTTTGCCCTCCGGCACTTGCCCCTCCCTGCCTCAGACTCCTCCGCAGCCTCTCTACATTGAGGAGGGGCTACAGGGAGGGAAGGGATGTGGGATTTGGCCCCCGACCCCCCATCCTGCACTGACGGGAGGCTGAGGGTCTGGACCACCAGAACCACCTGCCGTGACAGCAGAAAGGAGGCGATCCTCTTCCTAGCTGTTGGCTTTGTGGGAAGCAGAAGTTCTACAAGGAGGCAAACCCACCAGCTTTATGCCTGCATGTGCGAGCGTCTACGCGGACGGAGGACCACAGATCTGCCATGAGTGCGTTTGTTCCCAGAGCACGAGCAAGACCAAGGGAGCTCTCGGGCATTTTGTCCAGGCTCCTCCTCTTCCAGACGAGCCCGCTGAGACCCGGAGAGAGAACCGGCGAGTCTGGAGTAGAGTCCCCTGCCTGGTGTTCCCCTGGGATCGCATAATGGAGACCACCCCATCTGCAGCGGCCTCTTACGGCTACGGCTTGAATAAAACAATGTTTTTAATTTTTATGAATGTCCCGTCTAACGACATTTCTGGATACGTGTTCTCCCAACTGTAGAGAATTTCTAAGCTTTTTACACGCACACACGTGCACACACACACACATGTGCACACACACGCTCAGCTTGGGCTAGGTGATCCCCTCACCAGGCTCGCCCTTCCTCAGTTGGGGCCGCTCTGCCCTTTCTGGGTTACTCTGTGTGTCCTCCCGAGGGACCTGGGAGCACGTGTGTTCCCGGCAACGTCACGGCAAGCGCGCGCCTCCTTCAGGATCAGCCCTGGGCTCTGCACCGAGGCTCACAGAGCCCGTCACGCCTCCCACCCACCTGCCAGCGGCCTTTCGGAATGAGCACATCGAGTGTGTCCTCACGAGGAAGTGCGCTAATGCTTCAGGCGTGTGTGGCTGTAACAGCTTGTATGCACACGGGTACATGCTCTCCTGTTTGCAAAGGACCCCATAGCTCGTTTACACTCCTCAGTGTGCTGCGATGTGCCCACTGCTGCCCTGCGTATCTGCGCCGATGTACCCGTGTGTCTCTCCCCGAGGGCTATGCAGAAACAACCAGAAAGCCCCCCGCCTCCTCGAATGTCTCAGAGCATGGAACAGCCACAAATCGGGGACAACAGATATTACCAGAAGTTCCCACAAATCTCCGCTGCCTTTACTCTCCCCCTGGCTCCTACCTGGGGTCCCCAGCCGTGGCACGGGTACAGTATTGCTGTGTGGTTCTCCAGTGGCCCCTGGTCCAAGCAGACGTCTTTCGCCTTGTTGTTTCGAAGCTGTGGGAAAAGGCAAAACATCGCCTGTCAGAGCTCACGGGTGGAACTTCTGTATCCAACCCTTGTTCCGCCACCCTCGGCCCCCACCTCCCGATGCAAAGGCCACGGGGGACCCCCATGTGAGGACCAAGGCTCAAATCTGTGAGGTGATCATTACAGCAGGAAAGACCAAGTCCTTTGGCAGATGGTGTGGGTGCCAGCCCTCTGCCTGGGACACCTCCAGCCTCCGCTTGCACACGGCTGCCCCATCCTAGCACTGAAGAGGGGCCTCGGGGAACACCGGACATAGGTACACCAGTTACCCACTGGTGGTCCACAGTAGGCCTTGACACCAACATGGATTGTAATCATCCTGGGAATCATAGGTAAGTGTCTAAAGCCATTACTGACACAGAGGCACCAGAAACAAGAATTGGAAAAGCAAACAAAAGCCTCAGCACCAGGAAAAGCCCGGGCAACACGTATTTATATATTCCGAAAACACTAACTGAACGCCACACCATGCCAGACACCATCCTGAGTGTTTGGAAAACATCCATGGAGGGACAGCCAGAAGTCCCTCAGACAAAACCCCGAGCTCAGTGAGGCGCATCTCTTAGGGAACAGGCAAGAATTCGTCTAGCCAGACCATCCAGGGGCTCTGTGTTTCTGCTGCGGTGTCCGTCCCTCCCACCATGCTGCGTCCTCAGCCAGCGGGACATGGTAATGGTGCTGGTCTTCTCCATACACTCTTAGTCCTCTCCAGGTTCTGTTCACCACGGAAACCAAACCAGCCAGTGATAAAGCGAGCAGAGAGGCAAGGGGCACTTCACTTCGGTGTGCCCAGACTGTCTGGGTTCAGACACCCGAGTGGAGTTTTAATGCCTGTTTCATGAAAGATTACAAAAATGATACCATCGTACTGAGATCTCTTGAAGAATGTAGAAGAAAATAACAATTGTTTACAATCCTTTCCCACAATCAGTTAATTTTTCCCAATTTTGATACAATTTAGTTTTGTTCAGCTTTGACGGTAATGAGAAACTTTGCATGTAAAGCTTTTTTCCCATTTCAGGTTTTCTCAAGAAAATAATCTGTGGCTCAGTCAGTAAAGCATCTGCCTTCAGCTAAGGTCATGATCCCAGGGTTTAAGCCCCACCTTGGGCTCCCTGCTCAGAACGGAGTCTGCTTCTCCTTCTCCCTCTAACCCTCCCCCACCCCCATTCACTCTTTCTGTCTCTTTCAAATGAATAAATTTTAAAAAATCTTTAACATGAACAGACACAAATGGCCAACAGACCCATGAAAAAATGTTCATTATCACTAGCCATCAGGGAGATTCAAATTAAAACCACATTGAGATACCACCTTCCACCAGTTAGAATGGCCAAAATCAATAAGACGTTAACAACGTGTATTGGAGGGGATGTGGAGAAAGGGGAACCCTCTTACACTATTGGTGGGAATGCAAGCTGGTGCAGCCACTTTGGAAAACTGTGGAGATTCCTCAAGAAATTAAAAATAGAGCTTCCCTATGACCCTGCAATTGCACTACTGGGTATTTACCCCAAAGATACAGATGTAGTGAAAGAAGGGCCATCTGTACCCCAATGTTTATAGTAGCAATGGCCACGGTCGCCAAACTGTGGAAAGAACCAAGATGCCCTTCAACGGACGAATGGATAAGGAAGATGTGGTCCATACACACTATGGAGTATGATGCCTCCATCAGAAAGGATGAACACCCAACTTTTGTAGCAACATGGACGGGACTGGAGGAGATTATGCTGAGTAAATAAGTCAAGCAGAGAGAGTCAATTATCATATGGTTTCACCTATTTGTGGAGCATAAGGAATAACACGTAGGACATGGGGAGATGGAGAGGAGAAGGGAGTTGGGTAAAGTGGAGGGGGAGATGAACCATGAGAGACTGTGGACTCTGAGAAACAAACTGAGGGTTTTGGAGGGGTGGGGTGGGGGGGTTGGGGTGAGCCTGGTGGCGGGTATTAAGGAGGACACGTATTGCATGGTGCACTGGGTGTGGTACATAAACAATGAATTCTGGAACACTGAAAAAATAAAATTTTAAAAAATCTTAAAAAAAAAGAAAATAACCTGAGAACTCGGAATACAGTAGCAAAATGTATGGGTCCCTTAATGTTCTTCAAATATGCTATCCAATTCCTTTCTGGAAACTTTGAACCAATTTCTATTCCCATCCACAAGATACAGAAATGCTTATTAGTCCTGACTTTCACCAGTTAAGAATATTGTGTACAAACTTCCAAACCTAGATTCTGGGGAATCTGAGGTACAGCATGTTGATTATAGCCAATATCACATACTCGAAAATGGCTAAGTGGCCAGACCACCTTAAATGTCCTTCCTGCAAAAAGGAGATGGTAAGTATGGGATGTAGTGGAGGGTCAGTGAACTCTCCGGCAGTAATCACTTTGTAATAAGCAACTGTATCAAATTATGTTGGACACCTTAAGCTTATACAATGTTACACGTCAATTATGTCTCAGTAAACCTGGAAGAGGGGAAAAATGAAAGTGGCTAGGAAGAAAAATTCTAAAGAAAATGGTGGAGTATGTTTCCAACCAAAGTTTCTATAAATTTGTGCGAAATGTGAAGAACCAGACATGGCGCACAAAGAGTCCCAAGCGAGCGATCCTCAAGGAAGCACAAAGCCACCTTACGAGCCCCACACGGTATTCCAGTCCTTTCTCAGATGCTCTGAGGAAATGGCTCATCGTTGATGCTTTCAACGATGCAAAGGATACATTACACGGAAAAATCCAAACATCTTCTGAGTCAAAAAGTAATTCAGAAGAGTTAAGATGTTGAAAGCAATGAAATCTCAGAAATACCTCGACCAATGTACTTTGCTTATATTTCCTTTTTATGCCTGTACAAAAGCAACATGATAAAATGTGCCTAATGAAGCCTAATTAAGCTTTTAAAGTAAGTATAAAATAAAAATTAGGGTAATAACAAACATTGTGTTGAGAGGTAAAGAAAGACATCTTGCTTTTATAAATTTACAATTAACAGTAAATCGGAATGTTTCATGTTTAGCAATTATTTCCCTTTCTGAGAATTATCTGCTTATTTCCCCACTGGGATATCAAGTGGTTTTATTGTAGATATATAAGAGCTCTTTATATATTAAGGATATTGTTTTTATGGCATATTTGTTCCATATAATGATTTCAGAATGCTAGGCTTTTAAATTTTGTTTCTTATGTTTATGCAAAGAAATCTATTATTTGGAAACTTAATAAGCTACGTGCCTGGGACCTTGCTAAGCTTAACGAATGCAAAGATAAACAAAACTGTCCTCGCCCTGAGACAATCCATGGTCTGGAGAGTTAGACAAAGGGAGAGCTAGTACAACACTGAGTTTGCCAGGACAACAAGGAGACCATCCTCACCCCATCTGCGGGTTTGGACACTAAGAAGAGGGACTTGTGACCCCTGGGTAAGTGGAAATATTGCTGGAAATGTTCTAGTTTTTACCCAGGTAGTAGCTATGGGGATTTCTGCTTTATATTATTATGCTACACATGTATGCTTTATGCATATCATATGTGTATTGTCTTTCATATAAATAATGGTAGAAGAAAAAAAAAGGATGAGTAAAAGCAAACCAGCAACCTTCAGGATGATATGAGCCAACCATAGAAGTGTGAGTGAAAGACTTGGGGGTAACTGTGTGCACCCCGAGTTGGCTTTATATGTGGAAAAGCCATTATGTCATACATGGGAGAGTCAGGATATCAAGTATCCACATGTCTTCCCTTAAATATTATTGTAAGACAGTTCAGCTACTAGAGGTAAATGAGCTTTTAGAAACCAAGGGAAACACAACACAAATGATCCAGTTAAAAAACGGGCAGAAGACACAAATTGGCATTTTTCTAAAGAAGCCCTCCGGATGGCCAGACCCACGGAAAGACGCTCAGCATCACTCAGCATCATGGACACACAGATCAAAACCACGATGAGCCACTACCTCACGCCAGTCAAAACGGCTAAAATTAACAACACATGACAGGTGTTGGCGAGGATGCCGAGAAAGGGGAGCCCTCCTGCACTGCTGGTGGGAATGCAAGCAGGTGCAGCCACTCTGGAGAACAGTGTGGAGGTTCCCCGAGATGTTAAAAACAGAGCTTCCCTACCACCCAGCAATCACACAACTAGGTATTCACCCAAGACACATACAGATTCGAAGGGGCACACGCACCCCGATGCTCATAGCCACATCACCAACAACAGCCACACCGTGGAAGCAGTCCAAGTGTCCACCGACCGATGAATGGATGAAGAAGAAGCGGTATTTACCCAGCCATCAAGAAGAATGAAATCTTGCCATCTGCAGGGACAGGGACAGAGCTGGAGGGAATTGTGCTGAGTGAAATAAGTCAGTCCGAGAAAGACGAACACCATATGATCTCACTCATATGTGGCATGTAAGAAACAAAACAGATGAACATGGGTGGGCGGAAGAGAGAGAGGGGGGGAAACAAAGCATAAGGGACTTAGTGACAGAGAACAAATAGAGGGTTGTTGGAGGGAGGTGGGGGGAGGGCTAGGTGGGTGATGGGGATGAAGGAGGGCACGTGCCATGATGAGCACTGGGTGTTGTACGTAAGCCGTGAATCACCGAATTCCACTCCTGAAGCCAAAACTGCACTGTCTGTTAACTGACTGAATTTAGATAAAAAAATGGAAGGAAAAAAAAAATCAAGGGACAATGGCTTCTTATGTAAGCGAGTGTAGGCACGGTCACTGTTGTAGGATGAGGCAGGAACACTGAAGCCAAGACCTGCTCTGAGGGGTCTGTCCAGCTTTGCCACTGACCCGGGGTCTGTGTGTGGCCAAAAGAACAAGCCAGCAGCATTATAAGCATCAAAATGCAACTCTCTGAAGAATCACAGATTTTGTCACTGAAACGAACTTAACCGAAAAGCTATTCTGAAAGGTATGAAACGTAAATAAAGTAAGATAATGTTTG